GGAATGTGGGGTGAGGAAGGGACGGGGCTCCCTAACAACCTGCTCTTTCACAAGCCAGGACACAGGCTGGGCAGTGGGGATCCTGGGTCAGCCTGGGGCTGCAGGTGAGTCATGGGGGTAAAAGGTCAGGCCAAGTGTGAACAAACCAGTTGGACCACCCCAGGTCAGCTGTCCTGAGGGTAGGGAGAGTTGTTGAGAGGAGGGAGTACAGACAAGGGGACTTACTGGACCCTCCTCTCGGCCTCAGTTCCCTGCTCTTACCAGCTCCCCCTTCCCTAAAGGCTGCCTGACTGGCCCTGCAGGGGGATCCAGGAGGATCTGTCCAAGGCCAGTTCTTTTGTTTCCATCATAGCTGCCTGGGCTGCCCTTGGAGTTTGTTCCAGAGAGTGGGTGCTAGGCCTGGAATCCAGAGAGGGGGGCAGGCACCTCACAGCGGTCACCGGGCGGGTTTTAGCATGGTGGAGGGAAAGGCCGGTGGGAAGTGGGAGGGAGCAGGGAAGAGTGGGAAAGCTGCCCTCTCCCCCAGGGTCCCAACTCCATTTGGAGTTGAAGGGTCACTCACAGTTCCTGGTAGAGGAGGGAGAAACCAGGGCCCTGGGGCTCCTTCCAGTCCTGGCCGCCTACTCAGGTGAGGTGCCTCCTGGGCTGTTTGCATAAAAAGCCTCAGAGGCCAGGGCTGTAACTCTTTCCTCCCTGTGGCCAATGCACGGGCAGAAGGGGCGGGCTAGTCCAGATGGCTGGCCTGGGTGGGGATGGTGACCTCATCCTGAAGTCCCCGAGTCAGAAGGGCCCCTGGCCCAGGGTTGGGCCCCAAGCCACAGAGGAGTCTCAGGTCCCTTCCTCCAGAGGCTTCTCTGGGCTCCTGAGCACCTCCTTGGAGAGGGTCAGAGGTAGGGGGGGAGAGTGCTCCAGCTTACCTCCCCTGTCCATTTCTCCCTCCTGGGAAGTGGCGCCTCTGCCCCCTCCTGGGACCTCTCCTTTCCTACTACACCCTCAGATGCAGAAAGCGAGGTGAGGGTTTAGAATGCATGCCTTCTTCCCTGCCACCCATGCCCACCACAGGGCTGGGCATGCACAGGGCACTCAGGAAAGTGAGCACCTGTTTGCCTTCGGCTTGCACTATCCTGGCTGATGGGAACAGGGTGGCCAACCCTGAAGGCCACCCAGCTGACACGGAGCCTTGGTGGCCAAGTGGACTGTGGGGTCAAAAGGCCTGGAACAGACCTGAATGCTGCCACCTCCTGGCTGTGTGACTTCCAGTCAGTCCTGAACCTCTCTGAACTTCTGTTTGTACTTGGGGCAAATGGGGGTACCTATGCCTACCTCCTGAGCTGCTGGGAGGATGAGCCTTTGAATGAGAGCCCACGGGACCATGTTGTATCTTACCATGCTTTGTGTCCCCAGTGTCCAGCACGGTGACCAGCATACAGCTGGCGTTCACTATGTGCTAGCTGAGTAAATGGTGAATGACAAGCTGTAAAATGCTGAATAGTGTAGAGGCTCCTCTCTTCTTGGGAGGGGGGTCCCTGTCTCTGCTGACTGTCCTGCCCTCCACACCCCATCTCCCCTTGTCCCATGGTCCGTTGACTGGATGCTGTTTCCCACCCTCTTCGAGGACCCCGTGTCACCTCCATCCTCACATCCTTGCCCCCCTCCCCCTGTGCTCTGGGCCCCTGCCTCCCTCCTTCCTCCCAGGGGCCCCATCTCATCAACCACCTCCTCGCCACCCCAGCCCCCCTCTCCGGCTCCTGCTCTTTCACTTAGGCTCTGGCGCGTCTCCACCCTGGACCTACTCGGGCCTCTGGCTACACGGCGCCTCTCCCGTCCCCGCCGCGCTTCTGAGAGCTGTCACCACTCAGTCCACATCCTCGCCTTCATTCCTCTGGCCCCTGCCTTCAGCAACTCCCCTGACCAACTCCCGATAAGGTGGCCACTGACGTCTGGTGGCCACTTCCGATAAATGTTTAATGGCCTTTATCTAACTTCCCCTTTCTTCTGGCCACTTCTCCTCAGCTTTGAGCCAACACTCTCCTGGTTTTCCTTCTTGTTCCCTGATGGTTTCTGCCTTTCAGGCTCTTCTCTCTTCCCTTTGTCTGTCACCCAAAAGTGGTGGCCCCCGGGCTGTCTCAGGCACTCCTGTTCCCATGTCCTCGCTCTCTCCACACCCATGGCTCCACCATCACACGCTAAACACCTTCTCCTGGGGCAGCAGACCCCTAGCCAGCTGCCTCCTGGGCCCAGCCAGCAGGGCCAACGCCGTTCAGCCTCGCTCCTTCCCTCTTCTGTCCCCACCACCCCTCCCACCCTTGGCGGTGGGCCAGCGGGAGGCTGCAGCTCATCTTGATTTCCCTCACGTCCCCTCATCCCATGTGCTACCAGGTCCTGCTGAGTCTACTGTCATCACGGAGTGTCCAGGGACCACAGAGTCTTCCTCCATTCTCAAAGTCCCTGCCACAGGGGTCTTTTCTCAAACCGACTCTCTTTTCTTCTGAGAGCCTTCCGAAGGCTGCAGGATAAAGTCCAAATTCCTGGTGAGAGCCCATGAGGCCCTCCTGGGCCAGGCACTCCCCACTCTCCACCTGAGTCCCCATTCCTGAGCCCAGCTGCACAGGGTGGGGATGGGGCTGCAAGGCCCCAAAGGTGCCACATCTCACATCTCCACCTCTGCCCATCACAGACATTCTGTGCCATGCTGGACTGAGGCATCTGTCCCCTCCTGAAGTCCTCCTGTCCCAGATGGTAGGTGCCCCAGGGCCGGGGCTGTGCCTCAGTCACCTTTAGATCTGAAGGCTCACCTGGTGTTTGGCAGGTGTTCAGTCAGTTCATGCTTAGTGAATGAGTGAATGGAGGGGAAGGTAGATCCTGCTTCTCCTGTCTCTTCCAGGAAGAAAACAGGCAGGCTCACCTTTCAGGAAATTCCTTTTTCTAAATGCTACCTTGAACGAGAGTGGAATTTCCTTCCCAGGGGAGAACCAATGCCCCACCCCTGGAGTTTGTTGGGGATGGGGTATCAGGGAGACCCACAGCTGACACTGAATAAAGCACGGTCACAGAGAGTGTGGTTTTACACCCATCACACAAGGAGGAAACAAAACCAGAAATGCTAAGCAACTTGTTGAGGTCACACAATGAATTAGGGCCAGAAGTGGGACCAGGCAGAGCCTCTTTGCCAATACCCAAGTCTCTGGCAATGCCCCAGTTCCTCCCTGAAAAAGCACCACCACCACCACCCAATCCCAACACACCACTGAATTGCTGGGAGCCCAAGGAAGGAGGGGTAAAGATATCACCCTGCAGTGACTGTGGCTGCTGGGGTAATTTCTCAGGAGGCACCCAGACTTCTCCCCCTCCATCTTCCTCTCTGGCCCTGGGCTGTGGGGTGGTGCCCCTTGGCAGACCTGCAGAGCTCGGCTCATGGGAAAGGGAGCTGCAGGTCCCGGTCCCTAGTCAACACACTCTTGCCCACGCTCTAGGCCAGGATCTGTGGGGACGCCAGGGTTCAGAAGGCAAAGTCAGTCCTCCATCTCGAGGGGCGCAGGTCAAAGGGACAGACAGATACCCCACCATCACCAGGACAGAGAATATTGAGGCTCGGGAGTCGACCCAGGAGACGGAGGGGCGCCCGGAGAAGCAGCGAGGGCATCCAGCCATCTGTCCCAAAGAAAACATCTGGCAGGGCACCAGGATCCCTCCGTTCCTCCCATCCTACCCCCGCCCGCAGGATGCTGTTCTGCACGCTGGCCACAAGGGGGCGAGCTGCCCCCTGCAGAAACCTGCGCGAAGGCGGCGCAGACCCAGAGGAAAGGTTACTAGGTGGAACCCTAGGCAGTCTTGGTGGACTGCCTGCAACGTGCCAGGCTCGTCAATGCCTGACCTCCTTGAAAGCTGTCAACAACCTTAATCCTTTACACACTAGGACACTGGGGCTGGGGGATGACTCAGCTGGCCGGTGACTCAGCAGAATCAAATTCGAGTCTCTGTAGCCTCAAATCCGGAGCTCTCTGCACTATAACCAGAGGGGGTGGAAGGAAGACCCAGGAGCTTGCTTACAGGGACGGTGCCTCCTTCCTCTGGGCATCCCAGACTCAGTCTGGCGCTTGGCAGGGATCGATGTTTCTTGAAATTACATAAACTGCAAAGAAGCAACTATAGCCTCACAAGCTTCGGGGGCCATCTTCCCCTCCCCTATTTGGGCTAAAGGACAAACTGAGACCCTGAGAGAGGAAGCGAATTGACCATCGTGACACAGCTGGTGGCAGGTGTCTGTGCATTCCCCTCCTCTCTCCTCCCTGAAGAGTTCCCTAAAGTTCAAGATGTCAGGGTCAGGCAGAATTCTGAGGATGTAAGAGTTTAAAGAACGTGCTCTGTTTTCGATTTCCCAAATGAACATAACTGAATTCTGAACTGGGGAGAAAAAAAAAGCAAAACCCACTATGACTGGACTTCTTTCTGAAACAAACCCATCAAGGATTTTTTTTAAAGAGGGAACTGAAACGTTGGAAGCAGCCAAAAAGGGAAGCAGACCCCTGACTTTCATATCCATTATCTCGTCTGACCTCCCCACTCCCCTTCCCCGGCAAGCTCCCGTGAGAAAGGCGCCGCAGGCAGAGCCAGCTGCAGGTCCACAAACCCCTACCTCATGCCAGATGTGTTTCTGGCTGGTTCGGACTTTAGAATAGTAATATGGTGCGCGCATCTGCTGCCATAGGTGGCGAACGCTCCCAGCAAGGCCTGGGCCAGCACCCTGTCATCAAGTTCATCTGCAGCAAAACCTGAATATTCACACTAAATGGGATAGATGGAGACCACCAACGGCCTCACATCAGTTCCAGTCAAATGTTGCCATCAATTTGGCTACGAAAACCTTTGGGCTCCAGGAAGCGCTGGCATTTTGGAACTGCAGATAAGAGACTGTGAGCCCCATGTCCCTTGTTTCAGGGTTGAGGAAGCTCGTCCAAAGCTGGCGGCCACTGCTGCCCCCGGTCGGGTCCGAGACATACCTGCTCCGGGCGCTCCTCGCGCGGCCGTCCGCGAACGTCCTCGATGGTCTCGTAGGTGTTCTCCGAGCTGCTGCGCGCCAGCGGCCGCGGGCACACCCAGGAGC